ATCAAACTAGCCAATCAGATTTTTTATTGAATTCATTGAGGTAGGTGCTTGAGAACGCCCTAAATCTAGTTCTGACCTTCTATTTAAAAGTTTGGGACTGGGAATATGCGATATATCTGACATATTACATCAATTAAGAATGTATAATTTGTATACGTAAGTACGCACTGTATGTACTGTACGTAAGTACGTACTGTACATATGTACGTACGTACGTACTGTACATACGTACGTACGTACGTACTGTACATAAGTACGTACGTACGTACGTACTGTATTGGTAACAGGTATTTATCATAAATGCGTAGATAGCCATTTCCTAATTTAGTATTTGTTTTCGATTACAGTATTGGACTACAGATTAAATATCCATGCTGAAACAAATAAAAGCTGGTATTAACTTTAGCATTAGTAATAAAATTTTTCTTTTCAATATGGGACCTCGCAGTAGTAAATTTAAAAAAGATCAATATTCTTCTATTAATCCTAATCATTCAAGTATTTCTGATAAATATCATTTTGAAGATGGTAGAAGATTTCATAATATAAATGATTCAAAATACTTTCTACCTAATGATGAAGAAGAATGTGACAGGCTGCATATGATGCATTTTATATATAGCTGTGTTTGGCAAAGCAACTTTTCCGCTCCTGTTGAACATCTCCTTATTCAAGAAGGAACAAAGATTCTCGATGTAGGGTATGTTGTTTATAGTTATTGTTATTACTTTGCTAATTATAATTACAATTATAATTACAATAAACATAATTACAATGACAACTGCTAGGTTGTATATCAGAATCCCGACACACAAAATCCCGGCAACAAAATCCAGATACACAAAATCTCGACAAATTAAAATCCTAATTTTAATATTGTCAGGATTTTAATTTGTCGGGATTTTGTTGCCGGGATTTTGTGTATCGGGATTTTGTGTGTCGGGATTCTGATATACAACCCTATTGCTAGTATAATTACAGTCGAATTTACCAAAACACATCTGCTATATCCTAAAAATTAGTCAAGTAATTAAATAAGTAATAATCTTCAAAGGTGGCAGAAAAATGTCGCGGTAACGTGATCTCCGGCCATTTCCGACCCTTTTGATAGTCCAAAATTAATACAGATCAAAGAGCGATAGCATTTACGTTATATTAAATCAATATAGAGATCTTATATATTGATAAGTTATAT